CTCTCATGAATGAGTGAATGATTATTTAAAGCAAGTTTTATGAACTATAAAAATGTATTTAGTAGAGCATTTCAAAGTAAATAGTTAAAATAAATTACATCAATGATGAGGTAATATTTTCTCTTGTTAAGAAATGACAGTTAATGATTAAGACAAATTTCTGGGGGAAAATATATTTAATATAGGCTTAGGTTCTTGGAAGGTTTGTTATTATAGCATCACATGTAATCTGCTGGTCCATAAATGAATGGTGGGTTTTTAAAGGCTAGTAAATCTGTCTGATATATGTTCCCAACAAGATATTATACATCTCTATTATTACCCTCATAAGATAGGCCTACTTCATATGGAAGAAATTATAACAATAAACAGATGTTAATTTTTGTCATGATTTATTTGTTAGTCTAAAAGCTCAGTTCAGTGCCTAAAAACTATATAATCGTTGGGCTTTGGAAATGCAGTTGAACTGGGATCAGTCTTAAAACATGATTCAGTCCTTTAGAACGTTCACCTAATACTGAACAAATGTCTTGGCTTTTGCTTTCTGAGTACTGGGTCTGAATAATGAGACTGAATTAGACCATAAACTCATGTACGGCCAGGCTTATATTTTATATTAAGGTATGGGTGGTGCTAGTGGTAGAGAACCCACCTCTCAGTGCAGGAGACATAAGAAACCTGGGTTCAATCCCTGTGCCAGGGAGATCCCCTGGAGGAGGACGTGGCAACCCACTCCAGTATTCTTGCCTGGAGAATCCCATGGACAGAGGAGCCTGGCAGGCAATGGACTATAGGGTCAAAAAGAGTTGGACACGACTGAAGCGACTTAGCACACGTGCAAGGACAAGTTACAAATTTTGGGAAATAATCTGTTGACAAGGGAAAAGGAAAGCATCACAGACTTGAATTAGTGGATTTTGCTTTTTTTTTTTTTTTGAGAGGCAGAAGAAGACCAAACCAAACTTGCCTAATAATTAAAGTTACTTATGACTTTTAAAATATTAATCTGCTTTGATCCACATTCACATGTTGGCATTTTCATTCATACTACTGATATTTTTAGATATAAATTTTGAATGATTTCTCCCTCCATATCAAGAATAATGGGCTTTCTCCTCTCAGAGCATCTTCAGATGCTCACCTGTGGAATCTGAACCTTTTCGTGAATGAAGATGATGAATATGTATGAAAGCCAGGTACCAAGGGAGTGTTTGTTTTGAATTTTTGGTTCTCAGTAATTATTAGTGTCTTTAAATGTGAATGTGCCTTGAGAAAAAATGTTCAAAGGAAGTACTGTGGGAAGGTCCTGTAGGCTTTCTGACTTCAAAGTGCTTATTAGGATAGAAGCAGATGCCTGATAGAAATGTAGATTCTTGGTTCAATGAGACAAATAGAATTAAAGTATTTAAATTACCGTAATCAACTTTTCCATTTTAAAAAATTTTCCTTTTCTGTCATTTACCCTTATTTGATTATTTGTATTTTTAGTTCCCTTATCCTTGCCTCTGAAATGGTATTATCTCATTTTGATAGAATTTTACCTTCAGCTTTTAGGTTTGAAATAGTAGCATGGTTTGGTGAATAAGCATTCTTTAGATTGGTGAGAGGCAGTACTGCACACATCAGAGCCTTTGCTATAGCGTCTAGCTTTTATTCCAAAGGGCTCTGTTGATAGAACATTTTCTTACTTTTTCCTTGATTTTTTGTTTGAAAACTCTTTCTTATTCAGCCAGGCATTACATTTTAAAAAATGATCTTTGTGTCCAAAAGTGCTTTAAGCTGTTGATATGGTACTTAAAAGGTATAAGTCTTGTGGTATAGATAGAACAGACAGATAAAAAGAATATAACATTACAGTCTGAAGTGTTAAGCACTGAGATAAGATTATTTGATGGAACATTTTTTGTAACTTTTTAAGTTATTTTATCTCAGGGTGCTAATAAGGGCTTCCCATGTGGTGCAGTGATAAAGAATCTGCCTGCCAGTGTGGGAGATACAAGAGACATAGGTTCGATTCCTGGGTCTGGAAGATCCCCTGTATTCTTGCCGGGATGATCCCATGGGCAGAGGAGCCTGGGGCACTACAGTCCGTGGGTTGCAAAGAGGCGGGCTGAGCACACCCACGGCATGCTAATATTTGGTCGGCCAAAAAGTTTATTTGCATTTTTCTGTAACACCTTACAGAAAACTCCGAATGAACATTTTGGCCAACTCAATACATATGAGTATGTGTGTATCTAAGTCTGGGTCTGTGTGTGCATACAGACACAGAATACATATATACACAAACATACATACATATATACACACATATGTATATATAAAACAAGAATAAAATCTGTTGGTACTTTCTGAAGATTAATAGACAATGTAATTGTTGTTCAGTTGTCGAGCTCTCCTGTCCTTCACTGTGTCCTGGAGTTTGCTCAAATTCGTGTCCATTGAGTTGGTGATACTATCTAACCGTCTCATTCTCTGTCGCCCTTTTCTCCTCTTGCCTTCAATCTTTCCCAGTATCAGGGTCTTTTCCAATGAGTCAGCTCTTTGCATCAGGTGGCCAAAGTATTGGAGCTTTAGCATTAGTGTTTCCAATGAATATTCAGGATTGATTTCCTTTAGGATTGATGAGTTTGATCTCCTCGCTGTCCCTGGAACCTTCAAGAGTCTTCTCCAACACCACAATTTGAAAGCACCAGTTTTTTGGTCCTCAGCCTTCTTTTTGGTCCACAAATAGCCTTGGCTTACTCAAGATCATGTTTCTGAGTACCAAGTAAGGACCTATTTTATATTTTGAGACATATTTGGAGATATTTGTCAACATAGCACAGTAGTTTTTGGAATATTTCTATTTGGAGATGCAGAGGTACAGAAAACTTGACTGCCATTTTTATGCTAACCAACTGAAGCAAATACGAAATCCAGACATGTGATTTAGTAAACAAAAAGTAATGGAGATAGGAAAGATCGTAACCCAGTAGTAATCCAGAGAGCTTATTTTAGTATAGCATTTAACTCCTCCTTTGTACTGCCTAAACTGCTGCACTTTTATCATCCTGACCTTTGCATCTTTGCCTGGCAAGTGCCCTCACAGTCTTTCTGCTGAGGTAACTTGTCTGGTGTCATATCAGTACTTGTTGCCATCCCTTGTATATTTTCTATAACTTGCTATAGAACTCAGAAGGATGGTTCTTGTTTAGAAGCCAAATTTTTGTGTTTATTTTTGCTGAAAACAGATTTTTACTTAAAAGTTTAAAGTGTATATGTAATCATTTCATCATTCTGACACAAATATTTTCATTTTTCTGGTTCCCTTATGCTGTTTTATTTTGCATGGTTGGAGTTATGTCTGTTTTAATATTTAATGTAAAGACATTCCCATTGTCATAATGTCTTCATTATTATAATTTCATTTGCTACATAACAGCTCATTTGCTACTTATTTTCTTGTAAGACTTTTTTCTTCTTTTTTTAGAGTTTTCTGTGTTTCTTTTCTAGCTAGTGCATATTAGCATGCTTCCAATGAATTTGAGAGAACTCCAGGAGATACTGGAGGACAGGGAAGCCTGGCATGTTGCAGTCCATGGGGTCGCAAAGACTTGGGACACAACTAATGACTGAACAACAAATAATTATTTGAAATTTTAATGCAAGTATTAAAGTTATTAGTTATCTTCACACATGATTTTTTTCTCTTATATAATCCCCTATGAATATGTGTATGGTATATATTTGTCTATATATGGCATATATATGTATATAGCATATAGCTATATATGTGTACATGTACAGATATGGCATATACGTGTGTGTATGGCATATATGTGTATATAACATATAGTTAGTATGTATATATGTATACATATAACAAATTTTGAAAGACAGTGAGAATTACTTCATTATTCAGAATCAACAGTAGGAAAGCCCAGAGTTATATTAGGTAGCTGCTAATTCAAACTTTACGGTTTGCTTTTCTCTATTACATGCCATATTGTTAGTGTGATGTAACCTTAGGTTATTCTTTTTACATTTCATATTTGTACATGAAAGTTAAAAAATACTATATAAGATGAAGAAATAAGACATATTTGATAGTTCAAAGATTTATATTGAAAATCATTCTTTCTTAAATAATAAGCTTATATGAACTTCAAGAATGATGGAATCTACTTTAGTGTGGTAATATTTCAAATAGTTAAATGTGTATCCTTAGAGTCTTTTCTCTGTAATAGTTACCTGGATAGCTTGTATAAAGCACAGAATATGCTGAAGTTTGTTGTGGGGGTGTTTAAGCATATTATATGTCTGACTTTTGGCTTGTCACAACTGGAAATAGATTGAATACTGCTTAATCATTTTATTTATAGCTTAAAAAATATGAGTCTCTAAGTATATGTATGCATGTATATATATAGCTATACTTGTGTCTGTTTCTGGATCTTAGTTCTTACTAAGTTTATAGATTTTGAAATTCCATCATTATGCTGTTACTGTTGTTGCCTGAATACTTAAGGATTCTATTTCTAGTATTCTCAGAACAGAAGCTCTTCATTATGATGGTGCTTTAGTGTTTTTAGGGCATTCTAAAATTTTTTTCTTCACATGAGATAAATTGTGTATTATTCCTTTTGTTTAGCTGAAGTGTTTTATTTTCCATTTTCCACATGCTTCCTCCATTGGGTACACAGTAAAAGCTGTGTTTATACCTCTGAGTTTTCCCTCACTTGCCCTGGGCTCTTGCCTTCTAGTCGCCTTTGCAGATATGCAAATTTCAGGGCTTCAGCACTGTCTGGAGCCTAGGCGCTGGGGAGTTTGTGTGGGTTCAGGTCAAGTCCTTCATTTCTAGTGGCTCCTGAACAGAAGAAGAAAGAAGACAGTAGTGTGAAGAATAAAATGTCAGATCTTTAAAAATACCTGGTTTGAAATTTGAGTCCTTTAAAGAAATCGTTGTGGTCATATTGTAGTATTTATTTATTTTTCTGCTTTGATGGTTGTTTCTTCAGGAGATGCCCACAGTCCTCCTCCTGCACCAGCTGGCTCAGCAGGAAGGCGCGTGGACCATACTTCCATTGTTACCGCAGTACGTTGCCCATGAAATGTGCTCATCACTGGCATCTCTACCTGACACTCATAGGCTCCCTTGTTTTCTCACTAAGTGTGTTTTTCCCGAGAGTCAGCAAGTAAAGTCATTGGGTTCTATGACTGCTCCCTTAATCAGATTTCCTAATAATTGATTAATCATGAATAGCTTTTATTTTTAAATGTTTCTTTCTTAAAGGATATAATGTCAGTATATTTGATATTCTTGAGACTGATTTTGAGATCTATTGAGCTGGACTTTGTCATGGAAAGAGTTAACTTGAACTCTGGTTATTCCATAAACCAGTAGTATCTGGCGTTTCTATTAATATAAGCTGAAACTATACATGGAAGAAAAACATAGGGGAAAAAAATTCAGATTTCTTGTTATTTTGTATGTCCTTTATTTGCTTCCTGCTTTCTCTTCCTTAATAAGTTTTAAACCTTGTTATAAACTCACTTGATAAAAATGATTACTAGAATCTTTCTTTTTCTCAGCTTTTCTGTAATGTATAGCAGAAATTCATCATGGATTTTCTTCTGTGAAGAAGAGACAAGAATACAAATTATACAACTCTTAGAAACACTCAGAAGATATGACCCATCAAAGGTAAATACAACTTCAAGTATTTTTATTTTGCATGGAGAAAGTACTTAAAGGAAGTTTAATTTTGATTAAGAGGTTTTTCAGTCTAATAAAAACACTTAATTTAAAATTAAGAACAAAATAGGCCGGTCACACCCTGTGATCTGGAGCATATTCTATGGAATGTGTCCCTCTCTCAATAAACTTGCTTTAACTTTAAAGAAAAAAGAATGAAATAGCAGTTAAATATCTGGAAGCAGTGTTAAATAATTCTCTTTGAGGTTCGGAGCTATCAGACAGATGGAACTTACAATGAGCAATTTTTAAATGAAAAAAAAAAAACACTATATTTTTTACCAGTTTTAGAGAATTAAGAAAACTATAAACCAGAGTTAATAAATACGTTTAAATTGGTTATTTCTCTTTATCAACAATGACCACATATTGTTTTAGGTAAGAAATAACTTTCTGAGTGCCAGCTGTGTATTGGGCACCTATGATAGCAGGAGCTTGGACAGACAGACAAGGGTCTTGACTGGATGGATGGTGCAGAGCAGGGAGTGATGGACCATTGAAGAAGCAGTTACAGTTAAAAGTGAGACATCTTTTAAGGGAAACACTGGGCGTTGTTAGAAACAACATAGCAGGGCATCAGATCTTATCTGGGAAGGTCATTACATAGTGTGACATTTAACCTGAGTCCCATGGAGTGAGTAGGAGTTAACAGGAGAGAGAGCTCTAGGCAGAGGGAACAGTATCTGAGAAGGTCTGGAGGTGAGACGGATACTCCTTGTGAGAAAACTTCACCCTGCCTTCATATTTTAACATTTTATCTCATGCAGATAAGATGTTGCAAATGGATCATGTTTACCTCTAAGTTCTGAGTGCTGAACACAGTGTTTAACACTTACTAGGTGGTCAGTAAATGTGTGTGTGTGTGTGTGTGTGTGTGTGCGCATGCTCAGACGTGTCTGACTCTTTGCAGCCTCATGGACTATAGCCTGACAGGCTCCTCTGTCCGTGGGATTTCCCAGGCAAGAATACTGGGGTGGGTTGCACGCTCTCCTCCAGGGGATCTTCCTGACCCAGGGATAAAACCTGCATCTCCTGTGTCTCCTGCATTGGCAGGTGGATTCTTTACCACTGAGCCACCCTGGGAAGCCCTAAATATATCTGTAGGACTGAGTAGCTCTGAAACATCAGCTGTCCTGCTGGACTACATGCAGTGTCTATGGAGGTTCACAGGCAGCTCTGGAGCTTTGTGGAGAGTAAATTAGGCTGTTCAGTTCTCTTGGAGAAGCCCAGGTTACGCTCTCATCAATTTATGGGATTCTTTCAATGTGGATTAAGCAGAATCGGGCCCTTTCTGGTACTGCTGTACACCCACCCCACCCCTGTTCTGATGCCCACTCCAGAAGTGAATCAGATTCAATGAGGGTACGGAAAAGGAGCCGTGGCTTCCGGGTGCCCGTGGGGTTTGCTGATGTGGACACACACAGAATTGGGCAACGGTGACCGTTAGGTTGGTTTCTCAAATGCTGGAAAGTTTGTCACTACAATAAAACCACTGGTCTTGATGCTTTTTAAATGCTGTGAGGACCCATTATAATTTCTCTTCATGCTTTTGAGTTCTGGGAAAACACAGATATAATTCAATGAGAAGGTTGTTAGGTTAAAAAAATAATTCCTTCAAAGGAGAGAAGATTTATGAACGTGTCTCATCCCGTCTTTTCAGATGGTGCTGAGCAGGGTCTATGTGCCTTGTGCCATGTTTTATGTAAAACATTTGTTAGGCTTTTATGTTTTCCTTTGACTTGAGAAAAACCTCCCAGCTCTTTTTTGGAATGTAGGAGTTTTAATCGCCTCCTAGTGTTAGCTTCACCTGGAGATTATTTTTTCCATTATCCATAGCTCTAATTCTGTACAGAAGATGGTGACTCACTGTACTTTTTAATGAAAATTGGAATGATAAATTTTAAAGTTCAGAGCAAGTTCATGAAAAGCAGGTACAGAACTGAAGTAAAATAAGACATTTTCTCTTTTTTGAGCTCTACCACATGAAAAAAAGTCGAGGATGTTTTATTTCATTAAAAACTAGCACTAAGGAATAAAAATTACATGATGTTGAAGTTAGCTCAAACCAGTGTTTTTTTCCCCCGACCATATGAAATTTTAGGAAAAAAAGTATAAAGCAAACCTGGTTTTGATACTGACACAGATAAACTCCATTAAAATAATATGTGTTACAGTGTCATTATTTTCTTGGATTCTGATTGTTTCCCTTCAATATCTTGTCATTCTCACTAATCAAATTTATGCTGTTATACAATATTTTAAATGAAAGACTTTCATCTTTATTAAAGTAATTAATCTGTTAATTGCCTTTCTGGGTGATTTCTATAAATTTCTATATCTTATTGAAGTCTTTCTGTTTGTTTTTTTTTTCCTACAATATGCTTTTATTATGTGTACATTTGCTGAAATGTCTTTAAGTTTTAATTCTTAATAGAGGTAAAACATGAGTGCTGACAAAGAGTAATTCTAAGATACAATAGTACACTGAGTTATTCTTTTACAGTTTGTCTTAATAGTCTTTATTAAGACGCCATTAAGAAAATCATTGGGTTTCCCTGGAGGCTCAGCTGGTAAAGAATCCGCCTGCAGTGCGGGAGACCTGGATTCGATCCCTGGGTTGGGAAGATCCCCTGGAGAAGGGAATGGCTACGCATTCCAGTATTCTGGCCTGGAGGATTCCATGGACTGTATAGTCCATGGAGTCGCAAAGAGTTGGACACGACAGGGAGTGCTTCTTCACATAATAGGTATTAGTTTCTCTCCTAGAGTAGTTTACAGTATGCGTGTGTGCTCCGTTGCTCAGTTGTGTCCGAATCTGCGACCCCAAGGACTGCAGCCCGCCTGGCTCCCCTGTCTGTGTGGATTCTCCAGGCAAGACAAGAATAGTGGAGTGGGCTGCCATGCCCTTCTCCAGGGGATCTTCCCCACCCGGGATTGAACCCAAGTCTCCCACACTGCAGGAGGATTCTTTAGTGTCTCTGCCACCAGGGGAGCCCACTTTACAGTATAACCCCCACAAAAATATTGAAAAAGTCTTATGTACTAGATAGCCAAACACTGCTATTATTCATTAAAATATAAAAACGTGTTCTGCATAGATTTATGTTTGAAACAGGAGATTATAACAGTGAGAGATTATTGAGAAAGGTGCTAAAATATACTGAAAATTGAAATGATAAACTTATCATTTAATTATGATGAACTGTTTCTTTTCTTTAAACAAGCTATATGTACATGGTATGTTAAATGTGATGATTTTCATGTTGGTTAATGTTTAGTCATTTGAATTTTTAAGAAGATGTTGAACTTTCTATCTTAAGCCAAGGTTATTTGCTTTATAATTACTTCCCTTGCCCAGTGGTGACTTCATATATCCATAAAGCGTTGGGAAGAAATCCTTGGGTGGAACTAGGAATCTAGACACTCTGTTACGTGTCTACTTTCACGTCGGCTCATTTATGACTTGTTGCTGAACTGACCCAGACTGAGACGGGGAGGTGTTTGAAATATAGCCATGAGCAGAAGAGGGCTCTTAGGAGACAGCACTGTCTCTCTCCTGCATTTATTTTCTGATAAGGAATAGGGAGTGAGGTCATGATGGCTGGATAACAGAAAATACTACCAAGCTTTAGAACTTCGGGTACTTGATTTAAACAATTCTGTTGACGTTTCTTTAATGATTGCCTTTGAAAGCTCTCCCAGGATTGGTGCATCATTTAATACAAAACTCGGAGCACCTGGGACAGGTGAGGTAGCCTGCAGATACAATGGCGAGCGAAATGGACACCACCCCAGGTCACAAGGAGGGAGTGTTCATAATTATGCAGGGGAGATGGGCAATAGGCAGACCTGAAATACTGCATCAGATGGTAGTAAGTGCTGTGGAGAAAAAGAACACAAAATGAGAGGGATGCCAGATAGACTGGGGGTGGACTTCCTTCTCTGTTTAGGGTATTTAGGAAGAACTTCACAGCTCACATCAGCTTGAGCCACATGTGAAGGAGCCAAGGGAGTGAGTTTCTTGCTCTCTGATCCTGTGCCCGCGGCCCATGTACCCAACAGGAGCTGCAGACTCACCTGGTTCAAACATGAACTCTGCATTCCCCTCTGTTCCTCTTCCACCTCAGTCTCCTGCATCTCGGAAATGGCATCCCTGTCTATCAGCCTTTCCCTTCTCCAGCGGATCTTCCCAACCCAGGAATCGAACCGGGGTCTTCTGCATTGCAGGCGGATTCTTTACCAGCTTCAGCTACGAGCTGAAGCCCTTGTATCTCTTGTATTGGGGTTGGCCAAAAAGTCTGTTTGGGTTTTTCTGTACAAACTCAAACTTCTTGGCTCATCCAATATTATTAATGTCTGATATTCACTTAAATTCCTAATTTTAGCTATTGCATTATTCATTTTTAGAATTTCTATCTGGCTCTCGTTTATAGGTTCTAGTTCTTTGGTAAAAATCATCTTTTCATCTATTTTCTTAACCATATTAACTATAGTTTAACTGCAAAATCTTATTTGTGAAGCTCTAGTTCTCATTTTTCTGTTTTTGGTGTGGTCCTGTTTCTTGGCGTGCAGGGTTAATTTTCACTAAATGTCAGCTATTTGATGTGAAAAACTGAAGAGAGTGTGGGTGGTATCCCTTCCTACAGGAAGATTTTATCTTCTGGGTTGTAGACCTTGTTTGGGTGTGTTTGTTTACAGACTTCCCTTATCCGTAGACCCATTTCCCCCGGTCGACCCTGTACTCCAGCCTTGGGCTCCCAGAACTATTGTTGAAGTTTTCCTCTGCTTAGATTTTAGCCACTTCACCGCTGTTTTCCACTTGGTTCTTGTGTTTTCCTCTTAGTTTTCGTGTAGCCTAGGAGTTGAAGGGAGATTGCAGGCAGGATTTTGGCGTCACTCCTTTGGGATCCGCATAAACCTTCGTGGCAGCCTCCGGCGCCAGCTGTGTCTGTGGCGCCGCCATGCAGGAGTCCGCAGGTGCGCTCTCTGCTCTGTGCTGTCCTTTGCTCTTGTTCAGTCGCTCAGTCGTGTCCAACTCTGTGACCCCATGGACTGCAGCACGCCAGGCTTCCCTGTCCATCACCAGCTCCTAGAGCTTGCGCAAACTCATGTCCTTTGAGTCGGTGATGCCATCCAACCATCTCGTCCTCTGTCATTCCCTTCTCCTGCTGCCTTCAATCTTTCCCAGCATCAGGGTCTTTTCAAATGAGTCAGCTCTTTGCATCAGGCGGCCAAAGTATTGGAGCTTCAGCATCAGTCCTTCCAATTTAATATTCAGGGTTGATTTCCTTTAGGACTGATGGGTTTGATCTCTTTGCTGTCCAAGGGACTCGAGAGTCTGCTCCATTACCACAGTTCGAAAACATCAATTCTTTGGTGCTCAGCCTTCTTTATGATCCAACTGTCACATCTGTACACGACTACTGGAAAAACCATAGCTTTGACTATATGGACCTTTATCGGCAAAGGGATGTCTCTGCTTTAATACATTGTCTAGGTTTGTCATAGCTTTTCCTTTGCTCTGAGAACCAGCAAATTCCTCGAGGGTAAAGAAGGTGAATATGAGGTTCCCATGGGTGGCTCCCCTGCTCTCTGGGATGTTAACCCTCACATCCCGTTTGCCTCTGTTGCTTTCTGTTGCCCTCAATCATTTGCTCTAAGGATTTCTCCAGCTTTTGTATTTGTTCTTGGTGGAAGAGTAGGTCTGACCCAGGCTGTTCTCTTGTGACATATGAACCCTGGTCTCTCTTCGGCTTCTCTTTCGTACCTTGTTTCCCATATCCAGTATCTTCCAGCCACACCAGACTAAATTTCTTCATTAAATATATATCAAGGTTTTTTTCCCACTTCAGGGACTTTGTATCAACTGCCTCACTTGTTCTTCCCCAGATGTGTGCTCAGCTTAGTGATATTAAAACTGAGTTCAACTCCTAAATCTCCTAAAAGGTTCCCTCTCTTTCCAGGGTGGTCCCTGTAACTCTGTTCTATTTTCACTGTAGCATGTGCAGTCACTATCTGAACTCATTTTATTTTCCTGCTTGCTTTCTGTCTCCCCACCTTTGTATAAGCTCTGTTCCCACCTAGTATGGGATAAATGTTAAATGTTAATTGATAACACCTAATCAATGTTAATTGAATGAGTGAATAAAATAAGCACTGATTCTGGAAAGAATTTTCTGTTTTCTCCTTCCTCTCATCTTTCAAGCACCAGGGGGTGGGGACAGCTCTGCAGCTGTGGGCTCCATGCTGGCTCCTGCCCTGTCACTCTTGGCTCTTTCCTGACCCCTCATACCTGGGAGAGTCACAGTCCCTTTGGCAAATAAACCTCCTTGAATTATCCTAATTTGAGTGTGTCATTTTTCAGCCTACTGACTCTGCTTTGGTCAGTAAAAATAATCGAACCCAGGTCTCCCACATTGCAGGCACATCCTTTACCGGCTAAGCCACAAGGGAAGCCCAAGAGTACTGGAGTGGGTATCCTATCCCTTCTGCAGCGGATCTTCCCGACCCAGGAATCAAACCAGGGTCTCTTGCGTTGCAGGCGGATTCTTTACCAGCTGAGCTATCAGGGAAGCCAGTAAAAATATATTAGTATATAAATTTCTACATTTGATTGTTTTGATATTCAAATTGTATTCATAGAATATCACTTTGTTCCTAAATTCATTAAATAAATGTTGAACTAAACAAAAAAAAGGAACAGTTTTTTTAAAGTATTTAAAGAACAGTTTTCTTTAATAGTATTTTGATAAGAAATATTCTATAAAATAACATTTTTGTGTTTATAATATAATGATGACTAACATTTTGTTTATCCTGATGGTATGATCTTAAATTGTTTTCTTCATAGACAAAGATTATGATGTATTCGTTATCATATGAGTATTATATTTTTGTTAAAATTCTTTAAAAATATACAATCTGTGCTTATGCTCTATCACTCAGAATATTTAACTAAAACTAGTGGTACTCATTTGTTTTGGGTCTTGCATGAATGACTTTTTAAACATTTTTTCTATCTTTATTTAACAGGAATGGTTTTTAGGAAAAGCATTACATGACGAAGAATCTACAATAATTCACCATTATGCCTTTTCTGAAAATCCTACAGTATTTAAATATCCAGACTTGGCTGCCGGCTGGGCCCTTAGTATCCCACTGGTAAACAAGTAAGAAGTTATTAGACATTCTTTTCATTTCATTTTGTGTATGAATCAACTTTTATTTCGCTGAGTCTCATAACTGGTGGACCTGAGTGAGCTTTTCAGCAGAGGCAGTGAGTGGAAGAGCAGGGGGACGGGCGGCAGGAGCCAGACACAGAGGCGCCATCCCGTCCCCGTCCTGTCTCAGGCTGCTCTACGCTTCCGCTTCCTCACCTGCTGCAAAATGAGGCGAATGATGAGCCGTGAGACTAAGGCGGGCACACGAGGGCTCAGGACTCTACACCCAGGAGGGGGCCACGGCTGTCAGTGGACCTGGTGATCTCCAGGCGTGACTTTGTCAGTAAGGAAATGAATCCGCAGCATGCCTGTGGGGCTGGGTTGATGGCTGGTTATGTGCATGGATATATACACGAGTTTAAACAGGGCCTGGGCAGAAGATGCTGTCGATAATCGTAACTGGCTATTTGTGTGATAAACCCAGTGATGCTTTTGTGATGTGAAAGGAGAAGGTAAATTGTAACTCAGGGGAAATATGGCTGTTGACAGCCCTCTTAACCTAAATAATTCAGATTATTTGTGAGTTTTTGTTCTTTCAGGAATGGAGAGTTGATAATGCAGTTGTGGTTTTTATTTCTGCAAAGATTAAAGTGTTTCTATTATTTCTTACACTAAGTGCCCTGTTTCTAGAGATTGGAGCCCTGAAAAGCTTTTTAGCCCATTGTAGATGTACAAGGTTGTAGATATGTTGCCATCCGTGGTTGCCCAAAACTTCTGGACTGCTCCCTTGACATTTGAAATTTCTTTACAGTATAATACTCTCCTTTGCAGTGTAAATGCAAGTGGCAGGAAAGTCCTCAGAGTGGATGAAAGGAATATTGTTGCTGGAATTGAAAGGGGAGATTGGTGGTTTCTTGGTGCAGGAGTTCAACAGTGTTATTCAAGAGTCTGGTTCTCTCTGTCTCTCTGGCTTAGCGCACAGCATCATTTCATCCTAAATCTGTTTCACTTTGTGGTTTTAAGGCAGTAAGAGCTATGTGTTTCTTGTCTGTGTCCAGCAGGAGAGAGCCTCTAACCGTGGAGTATGCTAATCCTTAGTCTCTAGTTGTGAGTTTGTGTCAAGTTGCTACAGTCATGTCTGACTCTTTGAGACTCTATGGACCAACGCCCTCCAGGCTCCTCTGTCCATAGGATTCTCCAGGCACAAATACTGGAGTGGGTTGCCATTTCCTCCTCCAGGGGATCTTCCCCACCCAGGGATTGAACCTGAGTCTCTTAGGCCCTGCACCTGGGACATCCCTAGTTGGATCGTGTTCAGTTAAAGTTGATGGGGACAACTTAAAGCGTCTACAACCTCTGGACCATAAACAGCTGCCAGGGAACTTTAGGGCATCAGTTGGGATCAAAATTACTCTGACTCTGGAGACCTCTTTATTGACCTAAAAAATTAATCAAAATCAGAATTTTCTTAGAAGACTCTGTATTGTGTGGTTAGCTAACAGCATCCACTGCAGGAGTGTTTATTCCCTGTGTCTCCTTTCCTTGACTGATGACTCAGTAGGTAGGGCAATGATTTATAGTTACTTATGAGTTTCTTCTTTGCTTTTTCTTCTCTTCTTCTCACAGCTATTTGTAAGGCCTTCTCAGACAACAGTTTTGCCTTTTTGCATTTCTTTTCCATGGGGATGGTCTTGATCCCTGTCTCCTGCACAATGTCACGAACCTCCGTCCATAGTTCATCAGGCTCTCTGTCTGTCAGATCTAGTCCCTTAAATCTATTTCTCACTTCCACTGTATAGTCATAAGGGATTTGATTTAGGTCATACCTGAATGGTCTAGTGGTTTACCCTACTTTCTTCAGTTTAAGTCTGAATTTGGCAATAAGGAGTTCATGATCTGAGCCGCAGTCAGCTCCCGGTCAGTGAGAGTCTATAACAGTATAACACTTGTACAAAGTGGCAATTCTGTACAAAGTGGCAATTCCTTAAAGATTCAAGCCTACACTTACCCTGTTGGTCAGCAATTTTACACATAGATGTATTTTCAAAAAAAATAATGAGCCCATATGACCCTCCCCCCCCCAAAATGTTTAAGAATGTTTGTGGCAGTTTTATACACATTTAAGTCCATGCATTGTTGTGTATGTTAGTGATATTAAAAAGTGGGAAAAAAACACCTCATATACAAAAGAAAGAAACTCACGGATTAAATAATTTTTGCAATGTTGGTTTCTGCCATACAACAACGTGAATCAGCTTTAAGTTTACATAGATCCCCTCCCTCCTGAGCGCCATCCTTCCCATTCCAGACCTCTATGTCATCACAGAGCATGGAGTTGAAGTTCTCTAATGGGTTTTAGAATAAGCATTATTTCTTCAAATGAAGAGTTATTTTAACAGTTTTATAATTTACAGTGAGTTAGTGAGTGAGTTAACTGCTGACTTAGCTGAGTAATGCAAGGATTCCATCGTTTTCAGAAAACTTGTAGAGAATGCTTTCATGCGACCTATCTACAAAAGGCTCTCAGAAGTTTCCCTGGGAAGAAGTCTCTCTAGAAACACAAAATCAATTTGTACAATATCCTGCAGGTGAGTAACTGATCAGTATTAGGGATAGATGTGAGGAAATAATTCCTAATACAGTACTGTCATCAGTGGCCAGTCATATCACTTGGCTTAGCCCTTGTGTTCCTGCTTGAATCTGAGGGCAAAAAGGATACAATAAAAGTACAAGTAAAACTATTTTAGTCTGCTATTGCGAAAGCAATGTATGTGACAACACTGGAGGCAAGTAGCTTCTGAGAGAAGAAGTGATGGTGGTGGTAGAATTTGTTTTGAAAGGAGTGAGTCTGAAATGACCAGCACATCTAAGCCTCGGTTATGGACAAGCAACAGGCATGATGGCAGCACCTCTGATGGGCTTAGGCAAGAATTGCCATTTCTTTCAACAACAGAAATGGAAAGCATCACTATACAATGCTGGATATGAGAGGAATAGAATGGAAGGCGCTAAAGGGTAATTTAAAGTGCATATCTGGAAAATTTAAAGATTTAAGCATCATTGCATGGTGAAGAATTAAAGACACACAGATATAAATATATCCTCTTGCTTTATATAAATAAATAGAAATCAGGGAAAGAATAGTATACAATAGACAAAAATATTAAAGATGAAACATTTGATAATAATATAAATGAAATAAGTTTAGAGAACATAGGAAAGAATTTGCTAAGGGCTTGTAAGCAATAAAGATTTTAAAGTGGTGGTATTTAATGGATACCCATTATATTTCCCCCAAATAGACAAAGTTTTATAGTTAAGGTTAGAATTTCTAAGGCGCTGGCCTCCTCTTTCTGCACTCCTCACTCTTTCTGTATGGGAATGCATCCATGTCCCGGCTTCATTTTCCATCTGTGCTATGACTTTACAATGCATATATTCATTCCAGACCTCTCCTTTGGTCTGCAGACCCATATATTCAAATATCTATATTTTGGATATCCAACAGGTGTCTTTGGATGATGGGTGAAATAATTGTTATGTCTCCTAGTACCTTTTATTCTGTTGTCATGAGTATCTCCTTAGCCTAAACTATTATCATATCTCAGTAAGAATCTTTCTATAGACTTCTAATTCATTTCCCTCCATCCATTTTGGCCCCTCTCACCAATTTGTTTTCCATAAATTGTAAGATACAGAATGATATCTTCAAAATGCAGATACAACCATGTCACTCTGGTGTTTAAAACACATCAACAGCTTCACACCACTTCTAGGATAAATAACCTGGCATGAAAAGTCTTTCATTGTCTGGCCCCTATCAGGTTTTCAAGACTTGCCATAACTGCCATAACTTCCTCCTTATCTTGGGGCTTGAGACACTTTGGCTTTTTTTTTCAGAGCCTTATATTCAATACTTTCTATTTACTGCAAGACCTTTGCTAAGCCCTCCTCTCTTGCTTGGAACCTTCTTCCCTTCTCCAACCCCACTCTTGTCCCATCCAATGCCACTATTCTCAATTAACCCTAAATCCTTTTCATAAGTAACCATATTCCTTGAGCCTCTCATTTTGAACTAGATACACTTTAGTTTATTTAGTGTATGTATAACATACACTTTCAGAGAACAACATAAAACTTCCTTTTTGAGAACTTGTATAAGTGTGAATTGTATGTTTATTGACACAATGATTAGTTTAATGTGTACCATCCCAATAAGACTGTAAGCTCCACAAGGGAAGAGATGCCCCCAATGGTGTTTATCTAAGCAATCAATCCCCAACACTGCCTAAAAATATTTGCATGTAAATTTTGGGAAGATATCATAGAAAATACTTAGTATTAGCCCTCACCACAACTATAATAGTGTACTGTCATGAAAACAGATTCTCTCTCTTTGAAACACAGCCACACATATCCATTCTCATAGAAACTGGTGCTTTTCCTTTATTCCTTTCTGTGAAAAAAAAAAAAAATCATTTTTTGTTTAGATTTAATTCAAAATGATATACCCACATAGGGTAATTTAATAAGAATGGCTCAGCAATTCTTAAAATTTAGGTAGGCACTACTCTGATGAACAATTCATAAGCAACAGGCAGGAGGTTCCTGATGTTAGCTGTCACTAGATACAACCAGAACAGCTATCACGGCTCCTCAGAACAGGCAAAACACTGTACTCGCTTCCATGACATTGGACAGTGAGCAGCTCTCTTAATTTAGCTCAACTCCCTGATTTGAGCAAAAGCATGTAGAGAACCCCCACAGTGCTGACTTTGACTATCCACATAATCTCTCAGATCCAGTCACTTTATTGCCCGCCCTACTGGCCATGCAGTTCTTTCCTCTTCTCAGGCTGGATAATGCTTACCTACTCTTCCTGAGGTCAGTGTTGTCTAGATCTCACTCCATACTAATATCCAATCAGATAATTTGACTTCCTCATTTTCCTCAGATCAAATTATTTTTTCCTCTGATCAAATGCTTTTTTTAGTCAAAAGTTTTGACTTTCAGGATAACTGTACTGATCTGGCTCTCAGAGCCTATCTTGAAATTCTGAGACAAAATATTGACTAGATGTTTATCTTCACATTCCTGCTACAACAATTTCACTCTTCTGTAGATGTTGTGTTTCTAACTGCACAGATAAAGAGAAATGCAAACCCGAGTGTTACAGTATATCATCTCTCTTCACACATTAACTAAGCACTTTCCCTTCATGCCAGGGGAA